GTGTTAGAGGAATGGAAAGAACAGAGCCCCCTTAACGTGCGGAGAGAGTGCTGGGAGGTGAGGTGAGAGGTCAGGGGCCGGGCCCTCGAGGCCGTGCTGAGGCGTTTAGGAGATAAGGGTGACTTGCTTGATTTGCATCTTAAACTTATTGGCTTCTTATTCTGTGGGGGAATGGACTGCAGGAGGGCAGGAAATAAGGATCTTGCAAACTTTTATTCCACAGACATCCCAGGGCTGGGCACTGAGGATGCAGGGAGGAATGAGAAGACGTTGGCTAGGAAGAGGGACTGGTACCGGGTCCAAGGTGTGCATTTCAACTGAGATAGCTATCCGCGAAAGCCCAAGCAGGAGGCGAAGAAGCCTGGCGGGATGAGTCAAGCTGTGCAAAGATGCCCGTTTTGACAGCAGAGGCGCAGAGGAAAGGGGCACATCTAGGCAGCGAGTGTCTGAGTGGCTGTTTGAGACTCAGTTTCTGGAGCTGAGGCCCAATAGATTGACCAATGCCCAACTATGAAGTACCGGGCAAAGGTGCTGATCTGCGGTCTGAAACCAACAGCCACTTCAGACCACTGCTTTTTTCACCTAGTACGTGGAGGAGATGGTTCTGTAACAGCACACAGGGAACGTGTCCCCATTCATTTCATCAGCTCCACAGAATTCCATTGGGTGCCTGTACCAGTTTTATTTAATGAATTTCCTAAGGATGGACAATGAGGTTGTTTCCAGCCTTTTGCCATTACGAACAATGCTGAAATATATATATATCCTTGACTCACCTGAGAAATTCATAGAAATGGAACTGCTAAGTCAAAGGATATTTACAATTTAAAAATAGATGTTGCTATATTACTCTTCATAGAAGTTTGATTAATTTATCCCCCAGCCCCTGTCATGTCTGTTTCCTCACACCCTCACCAAAACAATTTATCAGATTTTTTTAGCTTTGCTAATCAAATAGATAAAAAATAGCATTTCACTGTCACATTAATTTGTACTTCTCAGGAGTGAGCTTGAGCCCCTTTGCCTGTATGAAGTGAATATTCTTCCTCTGCTACGAGCCAACCGTTCCTGTCCCTAGTTTGTTTTTCTATTACACTGGTCGTTGGTTTCTTTAAAATTGATTTATAGGTGCTTTATATATATCAAGGCAATTAATATTTGGTCCTCTAAATGTAGTGAAAATACTTTCTGCCAATTCTCATTTATCTTTATACTTAGTTTATTTTTGTTTTTGTTTTACAGGGTTTTTTTTCATTTGTTTTTGTGGGGTTTTTTTGGACGATGCTTTCTTTTATGCCTCTGGCTTCTACATTATGCCTAGAAAGTCTTTTCTACTCTGAGATATTTAAAAATTTTCTCACATTTTTTCTAGTACTTTCTTTTTAACTTTATTGAGATATAATTGACATATAACATTGTGTTCGTTTAAGGTCTACAACATGTCAATTTGATACAGTTATATAATGCAAACCGATTACCACCACAGCACTCGCTCACACCCCCACCACGTCACATTATCACCATTTCTTTTTTGTGGTGAGAACATTTAAGATCTACTCTCTTAGCAACTTTCAAGTGTGTAATACAGTATTGTTAACTATAGTCACCATGCCGTACATTAGATCTCCAGAATTTATTCATCTTATAACTGGAAATTTCTACCATATCTACTGGTTTCCCCTGCTCCCCTCCCCCCGCCCCGGTAACCACCATTCTACTCTCTGTTTCTATGAGTTTGGCTTTTTTAAATTCCACATATAACCGAGATCATATAGTATTTGTCTTTGTCTGTCTTGTTTCACTTAACATAATGCCCTCAGGGTCCATCCATGTTGTTGCGAATGGCAGAATTTCTTTTTCATGCCTGAATAATAACCCGTTATGTGTATTTACATGTGTGTGTGTATATGTAAATATATACATAATGAAATATATATTATATCCTCTTTATCTATTCATCTGTTGATGGGTACTTAGGTTGTTTCCATGTCTCCGCTATTGTGAATAATGTTGCAATGAACAAGGAAGTGCAGTTATCTCTTCAAGATCCTGTTTTCATTTTCTTTGGATGTGTACCCAGAAGTGGGATTGCTGGGCCATATAGTGGTTTTATTTTTAATTTTTGAGGAACCTCCATGTTATTTTCCAGAGTGGCTGCATCAATTTACATTCCCACCTGCAGGGCACACAGGTTCTCTTTTCTCCACATCTTTGCTAACAGTTGTCATCACTTGTTTTTTTGGATGACAGTCATTCTCACAGGTATGAGATGATATCTCAGTGAGTTTTGATTTGCATTTCCCTGATGATAAGTGATTTTGAGCCTCTTTTTAGGTACCTATTGGCCATTTGTATGTCTTCTCTGTAAAAATGTCTACTCAGTCTCTCTGCCCATTTTTTAATCAGGTTATTTTATTTTTTATTTTTTTTACTATTGAATTGAATTCTTTATATATTCTGGATATTAACACCTTATCAGATACATGATTTGAAAATATTTTTTTCCCGTTCTATAGGTAGCTTTCATTTTTGTTTGTTCGTTTGTTTGTTTTGCTGTGCAAAAGCTTTTTGGTTTAGTGTAGTCCCACTTATCAATTTTTGCTTTTGTTGCTTGTTGCTTGTGCTTTTCATGCCATATCTGAAAAATTGTTGCCGAGGCCAATGTCAAGGAGTGTTTTTCCTATGTTTTCTTCTAGGAGTTTTATGGTTGCAGGCATTATGTTTAAGTCTTTATTTCATTTTGAGTTAAATTATAGGAGCGATAGAAGATAGGGGTCCGATTTCATTCTTTTGCATGTGGTTATCCATTTTTCCCAACATCATTTATTGAATGTTTATTTATTTCCTAGTACTTTTATCGCTCATCTTTACACTCTAAAATTTGATTCTTTTGTTAGTTTTGGTATAAGGAGAGATTTAGAGAGCCAATTCTTTTTTTTAGATGTTACTCAGAATTCTTAACCTCAATTATTCAATAATCCATTTTCCCCCACCAATTTGAAAGGCCATTTTTTTTTTGTATACTACTTAGATAGTTGACTATTTCTGAGCTATATCTGGTTTCATGGATCTGTCTGTTCATATGCCAGTAGGGCGCTGTTTTGACCACTATAGCTTTCTTGTAAGTCATTCTCTCACACTATTATATCTTTTAACAAAGATTTTTAAGCCTGGAATGAGTTTGCACATGTGATTTTGAGGGATCCTTCTGGGGACAGCATGGAAAATCTGTTGTAGAGAGGAGACAGGCTGGAAGTGGAGAGGTGACATGGGAGGTGATGAGAGCCTGGCGAGAAGCAACAGAGATGGCTGGGAGGGAGAGCTCAGAGGTAGAATTGACAGGGCGCTGTGTGATACGAGGGTGAAGGAGGAGCGGAAGATGATGCTGTACACCAAGAAGGGGAAGCCAGGAGAAGCAGTAAATGTGGTTGTGGTGGGTAGAAGGAGAAATGTGAGCATTAGCTTATGGACATTTATAAAGGTGGAGATAGCGTGCAGCGACAGGCTTGGTATGCACTGTTGGTATGCACTGTTGTGCGTCTTGGAACAGCACACATGTTGGTTCACAAGTTTATTCTAGTTTGTTTGTCTGTGGTGCTCCCCATCCTCCACCAGCAGCTCTCTCACCCCTGGTCCCCTAGTTTTGGGGGCCCATCTTCCCCAGGCCTAGTTTACCCTCTCTGCTTAAGGAAATCTTACCTATCAAGATTCAGCCCAAATCTCATCTCCTGGAGAAGATTTCTGTAACCACTCTAGCCTCCTTTTGCTGTTTTCACACAATTTTCAGTTCAAGGTCGAGTAAACAATGCAGACCCAGGTCAACTGGATATGCTAAAGTCCTAATCTTGTGGCTCCATGTGGCTCACTCTGTCCAAAGCATTAAGTACAATTTAACTGTCCACTTACATTTCTCCGTGACAGTCTATGTCGGCCTGTTTCTCTCTTCCACTGTTCTTTCTATATTTTCTTGCTCTTAAGTAAGTCTTTTTCTGATATTTTTTTTCTCTTTTCTCTAGGCTCAGCTCTCTTATTCTCCACTGTCTCTTGTCTATGGACTTATTGCCAAGAATGGAGCTAATGAAAGCAAAATATCCCGAGAGGGGAGAAGAGTGAGCAGGAAAAGAAACTAAGCAAGCAGAATAGTTCTTTTTAGGACACTGCGAGGGCAGAGATGTGAACCCTTGAGGAGAGAAAAGTGAATAAATATTGTCCTCCCACAGTACAGAGATCACTGGGAGAGGCCGCCAGTTAAGTAAATAATAAGTCACTTCGCTTCCTCTGAGAAGATATACAGGTTCTTAGCTTTGAAATAGTCCGAAAACATTCCATTGTTAGGGCCCGACTGAGTGTTTTCAGGTTGGAAAAAAATCTAGTTCCACCTGTTCACTAAAAAAGCTGGTAATCG